AATGGGCTTCACACATTGTGCCCATGTTGGTGTCAAATATGAAGAAAGTCCAGTGAATGGTTCTGGAGATATCTTGCTGACCATCTTAACATGCAGCTTAACACACTGAAATCTTCAAAGTGTCACTGTGACCTTGAAAATTAAGTGACGGTCACCAAAATCAACTGGGCCCTGCGCCTTCCCTAGATAAAGCTTGGTGTTGAATACGAAGAAAATCCAGTGAACGGTTCTTGAGATATCTCGCTGACAAAGGGTAAAACATTAAAGTCCCCCTTGTGACCTTGAAATTAAGGTCAAGGTCACCAAACCTGACTAGGACCTTTCTTATACGGTGATGAACCTAGGTACCAAGTATGAAAAGAATCTAGTCAACGGTTCTTAAGATATTCCAATTCGTACGGGCGGACGGACGGACGGAGCCTAATATATTATATCCCCGATTAGCGCTAAATGCGCAGCGGGGGATAATAAAACTGCACTAGTATGGCCTTCTGCATATCTATGGTATCCTGTTGTGATGGATGGGTGCCAACTTTCTTCATGGGTTTGTAGGGTCCCAGTCTCCAGATGTATCTGCTTGCAGCTCATGTACATGGCTGCTGCAAATGTATATGGATGTGTAGATTTGTGCAGCAGATTAACCTGAAGTGCCTTCAAGATGGCCATTATCTGTTTTCAAGAACCTGTTTACAATGCTTGCATGTCTACCGCACCTGTGTATGTTTACACCCTGTGTATGTTTACAGTATCTGCACGTTTACAGCTCATGTATCTGTTTACAGCACCTGCATGTCTACAACAGCCCTCTTTACAACACCTGCATGTTTATATTGAATGTATCTGTGTACAAAACCTGCATGTTTCCAACAACCCTGTTTACAGCACCTGCATGTTTACAACAAGCCTGGTGACAGCACCTGCATGTTTACATGGAATATATCTGTTTACAGCACCGGCATGTCTACAACAGCCCACTTTACAACACCTGCATGTTTACATCAGTTGTATCTGTTTACAACACCTGCATGTTTACATCGAATGTATCTGTTTACAGCACCTGCGTGTTTACAACAACCCTGTTTACAACGCCTGCATGATTACATCGAATGTATCTGTTTACAGCACTGGCATCATTCATATCAGTTTTCACACCTTGTATGTTTGCAGTACAGATAGAATGTGATCGCCACACTAGCACTGGTATTTTACTGATACCACAAGGTACAGAAACAACTCTGGATTGTGTAGAGCTGAGTCCCTTATTCTTGTCCGAATCCAAGGAACTTGAGTTTGAATCCCAAACTTGGACTATTCTATGTAATAGTTTAATAGCACACTGCACCTGGGTTTCCTTGTCATCTCCCGTTGGCCTCTCCAGCTTCTTAATCTGTACATTACCAAAACTATGCACATCGTTATTTACCCAAACTATCAACATTCAAATGTGGCACCAATTTCCACCAAGTCCTTAAAGATCTGTCTGGTTTGCCACTAACAAACACATTGCTGACTGTGGCATGAACATACTGCATAGGTAGAACTGAGGTAAATTCTCATGAACTTTTATTACTATGCATAATGGACTGAAGGACATAACAAACATATTGATTTACTTTCATTAGGCCACAGACAAAAATGACAACACGTTTAATAATTTGAATTTCATGATATTTTATTAGAAACAGAAGAATGAGTGACTTTAGTTTTACACGGCCTCAGCAATATTCCAGCTATATGGCAGCGGTCTGTAAATTTTCGAATCGGGACCAGACAATCCAGGGAGCAACAGCAAGTGCATCGATCTGCGCAACTGGGATACGATGACCTGTCAACCAAGTCAGTGAGTCTGACCACCCCATTAGTCGGCAAGCATGGGTTGCTGAAGATCAATTCTAAACAAGATCTTCACGGGTCAGGGGCAGAAGAACATCTCATACTGATCAAAATCATTTTAACAATTAGTCATGGAATTCATACATAGAAATCTTGCTTCAGTCAACTTACAGATAAAGAGTCAACATAAAAAAGAATGAACACATCATCATTTTTCATACTCTACCTACTAAATACATATACATACACACAGATTTCTCATCTCATTCAGTACACCAGGTATCCAGGAAATTAAAGGACATTACAAAGATAGAATCACTAAATACATAGAGCAAATCCCTCACCCTTACTCCTTGCCAGGTTGCTGCATATGAACTAACTAACAGTGTAAGAAATTTAAGTGTTCCGAAACTAAAAGAAACTAAAATGGCTCTCCAGACAAAAGCCTCATTAACTAAATCATAGAGGCCTTCACAATGCACAAATCTTCAAAGAAATAAAATTCTCAAAAGAAATTGAGTGATTGTGCTTTAACATTTCTCCAGCATGACCACAGGCCCTCGTGTCTTTGCAAAAATTAAAGATTTTAAAAATATTGTTTTTGAGATGACCCCTGACTCAAAATACTTCATAGTACAATACATAATGACAAGGCTGGACACTTCGGTGCACCCCGCCCGCCTGCTTTGCCTACCGCTACGCTACACTCAACTCGCATGCAATCTATTAAAACTTAATGTAAACATAATCATGGATGATTGGCCTATCGAGCACCACTCATGACACCTACCAATTCTCTATTGTTATTTCTGCATTTCGAGTCGGGGGTCATCTCAATTTTTTAAATATATTTTTAAAACAAATTTAATTGAATAGATGATGGTGGTAGTGGTGGTGGTGGTGGTGGTGGTGATGATGGTGGTGATGATGATGATGATGATGATGATGATGATGATGATGATGATGATGATGATGATGATGATGATGATGATGATGATGATCTTTTAAACTGGTTGTGTCATATCGTATGCTGTGAATAGTTTAGTCAATGCTATATTTAGTAATATCGTAAATCCTGACAGGTGAAATTTCTGAAAAAGAAGACTTGAATGGGAGCTTCCAATTTCAGGTCTCAACAAAACAGATCCAATAATAACCAAGAAGGTACCAATCATTTAAAACAACAAAACATTTCAACACATGATGAAGCTCATAGAATGTTTACAGTCTGAAAGGAAACACATGACAACATAAAAATGCAGAACTATTCCTTTAATGTATTGGAAGCAGCATGTACTGGAAAGAGTACGGCCAAAATCACTTAATACTTGCAATGTAACAACTGTTTTTCAGCTGTTGGATATATGAATTCAGGACTGTTCTGAGAGAGATAAATTCATATTTAACAAGGCAGTCAGAGCTGTCCAAACTGAGTACACCCACTTAAGTTAGCAACCAGATTCTTGTCTAATGTTGACTAAAAGACCAAATAGAAGAAAGAGGGTGCACTGGAGTTTGAAAAGTATCTCAGTCATACGATATCATATCAGATTCCAGCGGATATGTCGTTGGTAAATCAAGGATAATAATTAAATCATACCTTTAGAATACAGCACCACAACTTCTCGTGAGGACGATCTCTGCCGTAGGTCACGTGTCATTAAGACAAGCAACCAGTTTGTGAGAGGCACCCGTCGGACGCAGAACCCGCGACCTTCGGATTGTTAGCTCGACAGCTAACCGACTGAGCTACGTCCACACTGTTGCACTGTGCACAATGTGCAAATTTATCGAGTCATTCCTGTGACGTCACGGAAATGAACGGAAAGAGTCGAATAGGTCACGGACAATTACGAATGCTACGGGTAGACTTGGTGTCTCGTGATTTTATTCTACGGACAATTGCCGAATGGATCCGATGCCATTTGGCACACTCGTCCCATTCCGTAATCTACAAATTAACGTGTGGCGTGGAATGAGCCGATATGCCTCAAACTGAAAAGGGTTGTTGACGTCAGGCGTCAGACGTAGATTTCACGGTGCATGCATGAATGACGCGCTTTTATATAAATCGGTGATTTTGTGACAGAAAAGTGATGTAGGGAACACTGTAAGGATAATGTGGATCGCACTAAGGAACGAGGGAGACATGAGCATGTGTAGTGACGGCACGAGGGTGAGTTAGCCTTCGAATCATTACTTTACAAAATTTATGTTGCGTGTGAAAGAGGCTTCAGTGCAAATTCCAGGCCAATTTCCATTAGCCCAAAATTTCTACATTAACCCATTTCATAATGTACTTTCGACGTTTTTGGTTTCCCGTTTTTGTGTGAAAAAAAAGTATTAAAATGCAAAAGGAAAAACAACAAATGGTACTCACGTATTACACCGGACATGTACCTGCTATATTGGATTAGGTCCCTAACCCTAACCCCTAAACCCTCAGCCCTAACCCTAACCCTAACCCCTTGAAATAATCCTAATAAATAGAATGCATTGACCGAACCACCGGACATGTACCTACTATATTGCATTAGGTCCCCAACCCCAACCCCCCAACCCTAACCCTAACCCTAACCCTAACCCCTAGCCCTAGCCCTAGCCCTAGCCCTAGCCCTAACCCTAACCCTAATCCCTTGAATTAATCCTAATAAATAGAATGCATTGACCGAACCGGCACAAACACGACTGACGTGTCTAGTGTAATGCATTATTACCGCTTCGAAAAATAAAATACTAATAAAACACTTTTCTATGTAATGGTGCAAATTACTGAATGACAAAAATATATATGTAAATTTAAAAAATTACAAAATACAAAATACACAAAACATAACACCTCAGCAGCCCGTAATACAAATAAATATGAGCGTATTAGTGAAAAAAGAAAAATATTTCAAACTGGTGCTTGCAAAATATTGCGCATCCGCCGGTATACAACTACTGGAAACTCTCAACATCGTTGGGCTTATGCAATGACATGACATAGCTCGTGAGAGATGAAACACCAGTGAGCGGAGCTTATACGCACTCGCTGAGCCAGACAACCGTGTTGCCATGCAGGCGTCATAGGGCATTGTTATCGAGAACGTGCTTTCGAACAAAATCACATTACATTACGTAAAGGGTATTATGACGTATTTTAATAAAGTTTGTGGTGCTGTATTCTAAAGGGCTACCATCTCCACTGGATTACTAGAACTTATTCTGTCATCATCTGTACAGTCCAAATACTCCTCCTGAGAAAATCTTTCATTGCCTCTACGGGATCGTTTTCTCTTTTTGCTACGTTTCTTTGAAGGTTTTGTGGTACCACCATCAGCAAAGTTACTAGAACTTATTCTGTCATCATCTGTACAGTCCAAATACTCCTCCTGAGAAAATCTTTCGTCCTCGAAGAACTGCGCTTGACCTCTGTCATGCATCTGCAAGTCAGGAAATTCATCCCTTGACCAACCAAAGTTATTTGTCCAGCGCTGATGTTCATCTCTTATTAGATCACGGTTATCTGTCCTCTGCTGATGTTCCTTCCTTGACCAATCACCATTAATAACTGTCCTTTCTTGTTCAAGCATTTTTCTAATGTCTCTTTTGACCCATGAAATACCATGGCGGACTAAGTCAGCATCAACATTGGCTCTCTTAGACAGATATTTTATCATGCCAATGGACTTGTGAAACAACTGACCTAAAACCTGTTTGTCAAGCATCCTTTGTTTACCCACTCCTTTTCCAGACTGTCCTTTATTTGATGCGACTTTTGTATATCTGTTCGTACTTCTATAGTCTGCAACCACTTTCTCAGCAACAGTTTGTGCCCTTGCTTTCATATCCTCATCTGCTTGACTCAATGTTCCTTTAACTGCAGTACTTTTTCCACCACCAGTTTCTTCATCTGAAGAAAAATCCAACATTTCCTCAGGGTCTTCATCATCATCGCCTTCTGCTACATCACCTTGTCCTTCATCTGCTTTAAGTCCCCTTCTTACTTTAATATTAGCATCCTCTAATCTCTCCATCATTATGTGACTCCAAAGTAGGAATTTTCGGATTGAGTCTGGAAGTGTTCTATCAAATTTTGGAACAAATTTCACTTGGGTTTTGAAGCTACATTTTTTCTCAGAAGTGTTTTCTTCAAGAGATGACTTCTTGGGATGTGCAATTTTCAATGTCTTTGTCCATTCTGGGCTCAGAGCAAGAACTGACCCAGACTGGACTGATCTTCTCAATTCATCATTTGCTTTCTTTTCAGTTACCATCTCTGGTTCACTTTCAGATTCAGGGGACGTTTCCTGAGTTGTCACATTGCCAGTGTCAAAATCGTTTAAATCCTGAGCATCAAGTTCAGGGATACTACTGTGATCTTCACTTGGTATTATTACTGACTGAGAAACGACAAGTGGTTGTTCCATTACAAACTCTGGTGGCTGAACAGGGATACTACTGGGATCTTCACTTGGTATTATTACTGACTGAGAAGCAACAGGTGGTTGTTCCATTACAAACTCTGGTGGCTGAACACTTACAGACTGAGTGATCACTTGCCCAGTCTGTGGGAGTTGTAATGCGGCACCTGCTTGAGGAGAAGTTTGTGTATTTGATGTATTTGAAAACCATGGTACAGGTGGCTGAGGATATGCTGGTGGAAATGACTGACTTCCTATAGCAGGCGGAGGGACAGGTTGAGGGAGAGGTGGTGATGTAAGAAGAGGTGGAGGTCTAAGAGGAGGTGGCACAGGTTTGGGAACAGATACAGTGGCGGGGTAGAAGGGTGCTACTTGCCCCTGTAAAGGCACTGCTTGTGGTGTGGGCACCTGGGATACTAGAAGTGGTGGATCTGACCTTGGAACGGGATGTTGTGATGGAAGTATTGGTAACTGAGGCCACGGCACATTCTGGCTAGACAGCAATGGTGCACTCAATGAAGATGTAGGCATTGTCTGCATAGACCTGTTTCCAGCACTTCTTGAACCAATATCTGAAATTGGTGGTCTATCCGTCTCAGATCTTGGTAATTCTTGTCTTTGCAATTCATGACAAACCCTTTCAAGCAGACTTCTTCCAAGATTAAAGTTTGGAGACTCTTCAAAGTTTTCCTTAATGTCTTCTGGTTCTTTTTTAGTTCTCATTGCTTTCTGTTGATGCTGATACTTGATATGAAGCAGAAGAAAGTCTTTCTTCCTGAAAGTTTTGGGGCATTTGGGGCATCTCAGGTAACTGAGTCCAGATGAATGATATTTGTACCAGTGGTCAACGAACTCATCAACAGTGCCAGAAAATGTGCATTCTGTGCAGCTGTGGACATCTTCAGCATCTTTCTTTTGTGGAGGCTTTGTTACTTTCATGCAGGTTTCCCTGGTCACACTGCCAGGCATGACAAAGTGAATGTTGTCTCTCTCCTGTTGTCTAGCACCAAGCAGGAATGTTGACATTTCACTTCTGTCCTCAATCCCATGAAAAAAAATCCAGGTGTTCACGAAGATCATCTGCATCCACACATTCCATGCTACAGAATGAACAGATGAGATAAAGAACCTTTGCTTCATGAATCTTTGTCCAGTGACGGTCAAACTGCCCTGATTCACCTTTAAATGAACATCCAGAAACATTGCACTCGTACTCAGTTACTAATGGCACGTCTGGAACACTATCTACTTGTGTCAAACCTGGTATCAAAGGCTCTGGAGTGGACTGCCTTCTTCGCTGATACACTTCAGGTAACCTTCGTGGTTGTGCATCTTCAAGCGACCTTGACTTTCTAGCTTCGGGTGGATCATAACCTTGATCTAGTGATATGATAGATTCAGGCAATCTTTGTTGTTGGATAGTTTCACGGGGTCTTTGTTCCCTCCAAGATGAAAAGGTTTCAGACGGCAGGTTCTGAAGCAACAAAATTGATACATTTGAAGCTACAGTTTGTTCAAAGAAAGATAGTGGATCCTGTCACCATAAAAATTGGCCACACTAATGTAGATGCAAAGAGGCAAATATGGGTTTTTTAGATTAAAAACATTGTTTTAACAAGCTTACATTCAGATGCATTAATGCTTATACCTACAAGGCTACTTACCGTACAAAACACAAAACAACCCGACCTGTGCAAAAAGGCCAAAGTCCAGAGGGGTGGATGGGTGGGACTAAATCGTACGTCTGAATGTAAGCTTGTTAAAACAATGTTTTTAATGCTTACATTCAGCCATACTAATGCTTTATCTGTTGCAGGCGGTGGGGGACAAGGCTCATGCAGTATAATTGCCCATGTGAAGCCGACACCCCCCTGGTGACACATAGTATTGACAGACTTCACAAATAGGGTTGTGTTTACCCAAAGTCGGAAAGAAAGAACAATAACTACACGATCACAACAATCTACAAGAACATAAGGCCAACCGGCTCATTATGTAAGCAAGTAGAAAATCGATGAAATGATCGAGGATGCAAATATCAACGACAGACTTCACTAAGAACGACAGGATCAATGACCAAGTGAACTAAACCACAACAAGCGGTGAAGGAAAACATGGGATCGTAATACTGCCTTGCAATAAAGAACAAGAGTGAATCACGTTGTTCACCAACGTTTTATTGCGGTAATTACATGATAGTATAGATACACAAGAGTCAAGAGTCACTGATGACGGGCTCAACAACTAGTGGCCCAAATGCCTGCAACATCTGCCGTCGAGATCCCACAAATAGTGAGAAATGAAAACTGAGGTTGATTTCCCAAAACAGCCCTCCATAATAGCCTGTAGGGAGCAGTTACCATGGAGAGCTAATGTTGACGCAAGCGCCCTAACTTTGTGAGGGTGGGAAGAGGACGGTGGATCCATATTCTGCGCAGCATATGCATGGATAGTCACAGCCCATAACCAGTAAGAAAGAGTATTTCTGGTGATCTCTGACTTGGAGGTTGTAGATAACGGGACTAACAAACAACGAAAATTCTTTTGACGTGATTCAGAGCGTTGAAGGTAAATGCATAAAGCATGCACTGGACAAAGTGACAGGTCAGCATGATCTTGAGAACCCAGGATGGCAGAAAGTGGAGGAATGTGAAACATTCTAGCCTCTTGGCCAGGAAGCTGATTCTTGGCTAGAAAATCCCACTGTAAGCCAAGATGGACATCGCCATGGACATGTTGGTCATAATAGCATGAAGCTCAGACACCCTAGCCGCCGTAGCTAAGGAGAGGAAAAACGCTGCTTTTTGAGTCATACGGTCGAAATAGACCGTATCCAGAGGTTCATAGGAGTCGCTAGTAAGATCACGAAGAATGACGTTAAGATCCCAAGCAGGGAGATGGAATTTACGTACTTGATCTTCCACAGCAAAAGCCCAAAGGAGTTTTTGCAGGGCAGGAACTTTCGTGAGCTTGTCTTCTGAAGCCAATGGGACAACCGAACTGATTGCAGCCAAGTCGAGATGGTCAAACCCTTGAGATGACGGGATGACCTAAGGTGGACTAAGAAGTCAGCTACCTTTGAAGGCGTAAAAAAAACCTGCTTCTCAGCAAAAGTGGAGAAGGAAACCCACTTATCATCATACAGCTTACAAGTCGTGACACAATGAGCTGACGAGATACGCGTTGCAGCCTGAGCCCAGTAACCTTTCTTGATCAACGAAGCTTTGAGCAATACTACCCATGAAGTTGGAAGTTGTGTAACCCCACGTGCAGGTTGTTGCTGTGGGGATGCAAAAGAAGATTCTCCCGGAATGGGAGAGCGAGTGGAGGTCGGTTTACAACGCGTAGCAATTCCGGGACCCACGTCCTGGCCGGCCAATAAGGCGCGACCAAAAGCAGACGAAGGCAATTGGTCTGTCAAATCTTCTCCAAGGTCAAAGGTAACAGAACGGTTGGAGGAAATGCGTAAGCTTCGAGATCTTCCCACAAAATCGTGGTCCCAAGCCAGCCGATCTACGACAGGAGACGATTATTGTGCCGTGTCACAAACAGATCCACTTATGGCACATCCCAGGTTTAGCAAATGGCTGAGATGGCAATGCCGAGGCAAGACACGTTCATGTCCGTAGAAAATTTGTAAAAGACACAGGCGGCAGAAAACGGAAAAAAGTCTGGGGTGTCCCCATGCTGAAAACCCCCACTTGTGGGGTTTGATGCATCATAGGCGTCCATGAAGTTTGACGCTCAGTACAGTCCCATCAATCCGTTCGTCTGCGCCCATCCTTTCGTACATATCGACCGGAAAGCTCCAACGAAGTATCCTGCTGACGTGACGAATGACTGCTCGCACGATAACCATCTGAACGGGAGAGTGTGTCGACACGCCGACTAGATTCCTTCTTTGCTGGAGTAGGTATCGGTGAAACCTCACTGCAATGAATCGCATCAACAGGAGATCGTAATTCCACCATGTCATTATTTTCATTCAAGATGGGCCCTGTAGTCGCTATCACCTGAGTTGGCAGCCGACGACCCACTTCTTGACCCTGATTCCGGCTGGTTGACAGACAATGTACCCAGATCGACACAAGATGGCGAAGTGTCAGCTGGTGATGGCTCAGTCGAACTTCTGTCTCTAGACGATAAATCTTCGATGATGACAGCCTCCTTTGCCTGATCTCGAGATGAAGCACGCTTCTTCTTATAACGCTGATCAGCCTCCCGCTTAGCAATAGCTTTCAAACATGCATTGAAATCCTCTTCGGACAATTTATCACACAGGATGCATTTCAGGTCAAATCTGGGGGGGTCAGCCTTAGAAAGTTTCCATTGACATTTTAAACAAGTGGAAGTCATGCTTCAATCCAAAAACACGTGTTCACAAGATATTGGAAATAAAGTTACCGAAGCAACAAGTATGTTTACACCAAGGTAATAGGTAAGTAAAATCTTTACTACTCAAACTCTATCAACACTTTAAAAGAGGAAAAATATATAGCTCTATTCCACATGTCCTACAGGTACAAAGCGCAGGAAAGATTGGTGACAGGGAAGGGGACATAATTGCACAGGTGGTTTTGTTTTGTGTTCACACCTCGTTTCATCTCGACTTACGGTAGGTAGCTCAACAGGTAGGTATAGGCATTAGTACGGCTGAATGTAAGCTAAAACATAATCTTTAAATGTGAAGGACAACACTTAAGGATTGACCATGTATACTTTTCAGAACAATGCCGTATCAATTGAAAAACTGATGAAAAACGGTATGCAACTGCAGGGATGGCAACAGGAAAATCTATTTTCAGCTGAAAACTTAATATTGTGTCACTGAGTTGAGGGTTTCTCAATGGATTTAGACGATTCACAATTGAACAATTTGAAATAAAATCCGCAGATTTTGCGGATCAGTGGAAAATTGCCATCCCTGCAACTGTGAAGCAGATGTTTACAAAACTTTGCACATCAGGTTTTTGATTCATACCTCATGAACCGAAAAAATATACACTGTCAATCAATCCTAAAGAGTACATTCGACAAGGAAAACATATGGTTTTAATAATTGTTTAATCAAAAACTATTTTAATCAATGGCGACACAAACGAGATGATATCCATTCAAGGCGAAGGACTACATACTATAGCGTGATGTGAATCAGGTGATTCTCTATTCTCTCACAACACAACAGTGTGTGGTCTCTCCAAGATGCTGCCTCTCTTTTCTCTCACAACACAACAGTGTGATGTCGCTCCAAGATGACCTCTCTACTCTCTCACAACACAACAGTGTGAGGTCTCTCCAAGATGCTGCCTCTCTATTCTCTCACAACACAACAATGTGATGTCGCTCCAAGATACTGCCTTGTTTTTCACTCACAACACAACAGTGTGAGGTCTCTCCAAGATGAAGTCTCTCTATTTTCTTACAACAACACAACAGTGTGATGTCACATATCCCCATATATTCCTTAACTGAAGAGGCTTGGCATAGGTGACAACGTTTACCAGATTACATACCCTCAAAAGAGGCTAATCTGAAGAGGCTTGGCATAGGGGACACCATTCACCAGATGACATACCCGCAAAAGAGGCTAATCTCAAGAGGCTTGGTGAAGAGGACAACTTTCACCAGATCACATACCCTCAAAGAACACAATTTTGAGAGGTCTCTCTAAGATGTAGGGACATTGTTCTCCATATCACATACCCTGATTGAGGCTTGCCATATAGAAGACAACATTCTCTCACAACACAACAGTGTGAGGTCTCAAGAGCCAAGGTGAGTCTCTCTACTCTCTCACAACACAACAGTGTGGGGCTTGGCATCTCTCAAGAGCTGCTCTCTATTACATTCTCACAGACAACCCTGGTGTGAGGACAATGTTCACCATTATCACATACCAACAGTGTGAGGGCTAATTTTAAGAGGCTTGGTGTATTCTCACACCCTCAAACAACCATTATATCCCATATACCCTGATCTGAAGAGGCTTGGCATAGGGACAACATTCACCACATGACATACCCTCAAAAGAGGCTAATCTCAAGAGGCTTGGTGTAGGGGACAATGTTCACCAGATCACATACCCTCAAAAGAGGCTAATTTTAAGAGGCTTGGTGTAGGGACATTGTTCACCATATCACATACCCTGATTGGAGGCTTGGCATAGGGGACAACATTCACCACATTACATACCCTCAAAAGAGGCTAATCTCAAGAGGCTTGGTGTAGGAACAATGTTCACCAGATCACATACCCTCAAAAGAGGCTAATTTTAAGAGGCTTGGTGTAGGGACAATGTTCACCATATCACATACCCAATGATTGGCTCCAGGCCTTGGGCTTGGTGTAGGGGACACCATTCACCTAACCTCAAGATTACATACCCATCACATAGCTCCATAGTGCTAACCTCAAGAGGCTTGGTGTAGGGACAATGTTGACCTCATCACATAGCTCCATATGTGCCTAACCTCAAGAGGCTTGGTGTAGGGACAATATTTACCAGATCACAAAGCTCCATACGTGCCTTACCTCAAGAGGCTTGGTGTAGGGACAATATTCACAAGATCACATACCCCTATATGTTCCTTACCTCATGAGGCTTGGCATAGCTGACTTCGACCTCCTTATCATCAATAACATGTGGCTTGCCTGATACTGCTTTCACTGCATCAGCAAGTTTTTCAAATATCACAAATGCAACACCAGTTGATCTGAAAAAGGAAAGAGTGCCTCTTTAGAGAAAAAAACATCGACAATTGGAACCTAAAAACAGATCAAAGATCAAAATCAATAACAAATCGACGATCTAAACCCATCAGATACTAACAGGAGCAAGGGACACAACTAACCTCAAAGTCAGATCCTTCACCACCTCAAACTCGTCGACTCCTCCCCATCTACAGAAGTAGGACATCAGCTTGTAACCAGGGGTTTTCACTGCCAGCCCCGATATTCTCACCTTCCTATTGGGAGGCTCCACCTTTTGGGGAACCTAGATGTGAAAGAGTGAATTGATGGAAATAAATACAGGATATCTTTAATATCCATGTATGTCAAATCGAGGTCATATGGATATGTTTACCACTTTACCAGATTTTAAAAACATGTGAGCACATATATAGTGTCTCAAGATCATTAAGAATCATCACATGGAAAAGTCTGGGAAAGGACGATAATCACATCTTGGTAGCAATAGCTCTGCACAACTATCAGATCCTGGTGGTCGGGGACATAGGTGAGTATGGTTTTTATGTTGCTTTTAGCAAAATTATGGTAGTATCATGGCAGAGGACACCAAAAATGGGCTTCACACATAGTATTCTTGTAGGGAATCGAACCCGGGTCATTAGCATGATAAGCAAATACTTTAACCAGAAAGCTACCTACCACCCCTATCGAAATATGAACTTTTCGTTGTTTGTTGGAATTAATGTTACTGAATATAAACTATATTCATCTACTGTTGACAATAAATATTGAATATACTGGAAAGGAAACATGATAGGAAAGTCAAAGTGACTCACAGGATAGGCAGGTCTGGCAGGAACGGTGGGTCTGACAGGAACGGCGGGTCTGGCAGGAATGGTGGGTCTGACAGGAATGACGGGTCTTGCAGGAATGACGGGTCTTACAAATCCTGCAGGTTGAGTAGGAGCAACAGAGTTTGGTGATTCGTAGGCTGTACACAAAGTAAAAAGCATGAATGTATCTGTGTGTATTCGTTAATATTGTAATATGACAGCTGTACCCATGCCACAATATACTTATATCAAAGACAACAATACAGCAATGAGCAAGGATGCAACAGCAACCATACAAAACAGCAACATTAAAGCATATGAAAGCTGTGTACCAGCCACAATATATCACAATATATTTATATCACAGACATAACAGTACAATACAGCAAGATCACAGCTGATAACAGCCACATTACAGCAAGGTCAGCTGTATAACTACCAACATTACAGCAAGGTCACAGCTGTATAACAGCCACATTACAGCAAGGTCACAGCTGTATAACTGCCACATTACAGCAAGGTCACAGCTGTATAACTGCCACATTACAGCAAGGTCACAGCTGTATAACTGCCACATTACAGCAAGGTCACAGCTGTATAACTGCCACATTACAGCAAGGTCACAGCTGTATAACTGCCACATTACAGCAAGGTCACAGCTGTACAACTGCCACATTACAGCAAGGTCACAGCTGTACATTACATCAATGTCACCGATCTGTAGACACATAACAACAACATATCACAGCAATTTCACAGATGTATAACTGCCACAGTAGCAATATATTACATCAAAGTCACAGATCTACAAAACACATTACAGCAATACATTATAATATCAATATCAGTATCACAGCAACGATTTTCAGTAATATTACAGCTGTACAACTGCCACATTACAGCAATTTCACAACTGTATAACTGCCACAGTACAGCAATATATTACATCAATGTCACATGTTTAAAAAAAAGTTGGGGAACTCCATTTTTAATTAACGATTGAAAAAACTGTGAGACATATCAGCGTCGATCAATGTTGATATGATAATAATGAATGTTTTGAGAGTGTATCACCACTTGCACTTCCTTATGACCATAGTTGTTTGTACAGTAATCGCTCTTGAAAGATGACTGGTGTATGACATGAAATTTGCATGTGTACAATTTTCATTCAGTAGTGTGTAAACCCGTGAAGGTCCAGGTTAGAATTGATCTTCAGCAACCCATGCTTGTCATAAGAGGTGACTAACGGTATCAGGTGGTCAGACTCACTGACTGGGTTGACACATGTCATCATATCCCAACTGCGTAGATCGATGTTGCTGATCCCTGGAATGTCTGGTCCAGACTCGATTGTTTACAGACTGTCGCAATATAGCTGGAATACTAGTATTGCTGAGTGCAGCGTAAAACTAAACTCACTCAGTAGTGTGTAATTCCACCACAAAGGACCACACATTCATCCAGACGACGAGGCATACTACGTATGAGTCTCCCAATGACCAATTGGGGGAGTCTGTTCCATTCTTCCTGAAGCAAAAGGCCAAGTTCATCCAGCGTGGTCAGCAGCCTTTGATATTGATGCAGACGTCTCCCTATCATGTCCCACTCCCAGACGTGTTTGATGGGGGGAAATCCAGGCTCATTGCTGGCCATGGCAAACGATATATTATGTGTTGCTGGAGGTGATTATTGATGATACATGCACTAGGGCTGGGACGGGTACTCGGGTACTCGAATCCGGGTCGGGTACAGCTGGAATCGAGTCCTATTTCTCGGAATCGAGTACCGGAAAGGGAGAGAACTCTGTAATGACAAGGGCAGATAATAACTTTTTCATTATAATGTAGTGAGTAGTCAAGTACAGTAACAGTAGGAATGAAAAGTTTATTGTAACGAGCAATATAAGTAATGGTGTTACTCTTTAAATTGGTTAAACAGACGTAAATTACATAGCTTGAGATCATTCTAATGTCTTATTGCCACCCTTATAAGTTTTCTATAATATTCAGAAAGTTTACGAAAGCCCTGTATTCCTTACATTTCCGGGTACATCGCGGACTCGATTCCGATTCGGGTAAGTACTAGTACATGCGGGTACTCGATTCCAATTTTTCCTACCCGTCGTTGAACACAGACATTCACAATGCCTAGTAAATATGACATCAAAGGGTGTCAGTATGTTGTCCCACTACTACTGCCCAGTGACCTTTGCTTGCACAACATGAAGAGCACAGTATCATCCAAAAACATGACACGCGACCAACAACGATTCCTCCAGTGTCTACGTGCCCTACACCATTCTCTTCTTACAGACATGTGATGATCAGTCGAGCAAGGAAGTGAGCTGCATGGAGGCGATTTCTAATCGTGTGACTCATAACTTGAACACCAGTAGTCTGATACAGATTTGCTGTAATTTGATTGGCCGATACAGCTCGATTTCTTAAAGCCTGGTTCCTAAGGAAACGATCTTGTACTCTTGTTGTTGACGACTTTGGACGACTTGAACAGGGTCGAACATCTTGGGTTTGCTGATACCTGTTCCAAAGTCTGCTAATGACTGACTCGAAACATTGGAGATATTGGCCACTTCATGTTCGCAACATCATGTTGCATACGCCGTATTGCAAATTAAAACAAAAACAAAACGGCTAGAAACAAACACTAACTGTGTGGCCAACAGATGCAAGATGATTGTCAAGATTAATGGTCTACAGTGATTTATCGACCTTCTTGAAAACCGTCAAAATCAAGAATGACACCCCAGAAACGTGTATGAGGCTACTGCAATGTGCACATGCACCCCATGTGTTGTGTTTAGGGATGGTGATAAAGAGAAATGGTGGTGCGTTCATAAGATGTCTGTCTATGAAATGTTTGTTAATGTTTATACTTCCTATCCGAATTGAAAGTTAGGGTTCCCCTACTTTTTTTATTGGCTAATGTCAACTTCCTGCTGGATATTGGTCAGACAAAGTGACAGGTCATCCTGAAGTGGGATGTACTGCAGCTTAAGTGAGCAATAACATATTTTTGTCTGGCCCCAAATACCCAGAGATATCAATATGAAAAGAACACAAGATGTTGATCTCTTACCTCTTACATCAACTCCACGCTGCAATAAAAAATTTAGAAGAGTCATCATGACAATTAACAAACAATTCCAAAACTATTGAGCAGAATTTTAGACATAAAGTAATCATGTTTACATCAACTGCTGTTTCCACATTTTTATCTTAAAATTGATTTTAAGGGTGTGACATATATCAGTTGGTGTAAATGACAATATATATATTTTCAATCAAAAATACTTACGCTACAGCGAGTGGCCATATTATTACGTACAACTTACCAGTGTTGATATTGTGAATAGCAACGCCCGTTACTTTTTAAAATACTACTACTCCAAAACGACACTGGGTATCGTCATAACATTTTTGTCACATGATCTACATTGTCACATGATGTCACGTGTCTGTCACGTCTGTTTTTATCCATTTGTCTTCTACTACATATTCTGGCTATTTCTGGCAACAATGGGGAAATCGACTGATCTGTCAGAACCACTTGAGAAATTAATTGTTAAAAAGTTTCAAAGCGGCAAAAAATGTTTAACATTGCAAGATTCTTTGGAATCCCTTGAAGCAGCGTATATTCGGTGGTCAAGCAGTTTAATTGACGTGGGTCAGTCGTAAATGCTCCCAGAACAGGCCGAATAAGGAAATTAAATCCTCCGGACAATCGACAACTTTTGAGGTTGGTCAGAGACAATATGATTTCACCAATAGGTGAAATAACTGAGAATTTGAACAACTGTTGGACTACACGATTATCGGTGAGGACTGGAAGGGGTCGATTATATGAAAATAACATTGACATAAAATACCCATATTTCTTTAAAGAAAGAAAATTCGAATTTGTGACTATAATGTCAGAAATTGTTTGTTCTGGGTAAGGTGAGGTGAGGGTGAGGTGAAATTGGGTTTTACGTCGTATTCTGTGTAAGGGAGTAACGATATCATACAGTGAATAATTACTGAAATTGAGTAATCTTCTCTGACGAGTACAAAATTATCATTGGGGAAAACAATCGTGGTAGGAGACAGTCCTGTGAAGAATACCTCCTGCAATGTCTTTGTCTGCGACGATAGCCGCACGTCAGTTTGATGGTGTGGGATTGTATCACCTGGCATAGTGTTGGTACCACTTATGTTCTTAATGGCAACATGCATGCTAAAAAAATACACAGCAATCCTCGCTGATATGCTTTGGCCCGTTCTAGCCAAACATTTTCAGGGAAAGCATTACATCGATGACAATGCCTCTGTACATCGGGGTGTTTTTCGTTCAGGATTACAAGCGACAAATTTTGGGATGTGTCCTTTGTTCTTTATTATTTTCAACATCCGCCTTAGAATCGATGAAAAGAAATTTCTGATGAAATCGAGGGGAATATTTTCCCAGATGTCCTGCACTTGGAGTTCCAAGTCAGCAGCCAACTGAATGTTTCCTCGGCGTAACTGAAGTGTATTCTTCAGGTAGAGCCAACAGTTCTCAATAATATTTGCCCCTGGACTCTGTGAAGGTCACATCATTCCAGTAGTGTCATACTGAGGTAAGACTGTTTATATTTAACGAGCTATAACACTTTGAACTCTAGCGTAAAACTGTCGTTAACAATCGGTCCACCATGTTTGTACATAATAATACGGCCACTCGCTGTAGTTCAGATGACTGGCATGGGAATGCTCACCTTTAATGATGCAGCATTTAAAAAGGGAAAATGTGCCAGACGTTATTTTGTGTAGGAGACAAAGACATATTAATGGAATCAATCTTTGTCTTTCATCTTTCATCGTTCAAGCTGTCATTTTGTGATTTTGAATTATATCATATTTTGCTGACAAAGGAATAAATAACTACATTAGTCTTGCCACTTGAAAAAGAGTCAAGAAATAAAGTGAATATCAATTAATGAAGACAGTGATCTGTGTGGTAAATCCAGTGAAGTGAAAACCAACACAGTAAGTAAACAGTAAGGTATAAACGACTGACTTGATGATCAGATTCTGGTAGTCAGGGGACATAACTCTGCATAACTGCATTGACAATCAGATTCTGGCAGTCAGGGGACATAACTCTACATAACTGCATTGACAATTAGATCCTGGTAGTCAGGGGACATAACTCTACATAACTGCACTGACAATCAGATTCTGGAAGACAGTTGACATTACTCTACACAGCTGACTTGACAATCAGATGATGGTAGTCAGGAGACATAACTCTATACAGCTGACTTGATAATCACATCATGGAAGTCAGGGGACATCACTCTACACAACTGAATCAGTGAGTGAGTGAGTGAGTTTAGTTTTACGCTGCATTCTGCAATACAACAATATTCCAGCTATATGTAAATAATCGAGTGTGGACCAGACAATCCAGTGATCAACACAATGAGCATCGATCTACTCAATTGGGAAACGATTACATGTGTCAACCAAGACAGCAAGTCTGACCATCCGATCAAGTGAGCCACCTTTTATGACAAGAGTGGATTGCTGAAGACCAATTCTAACCTGGATTTTCATGCATTTGTACTGGTGTGTAGACAAGAACTCACCATGCTACATCTCCAGTCGCCATTCTGACCTTGACCCTTGACGGGTAAACCTCTGCAACAAACATCAAGATTGAAGATGACATTGGTTTGACAACAATGCTACATAGTTTGCAGTGGCTTAATACCATGGTAATATAGATCACATCTATCAACACCACAGTTTCAAAACAAAAAAGTATCTCCCACAAGAAAAAACACTGAAGACAACACCTACCCCGTATCAAAACGTGTCCTCTTTCGACGGGAAACTCCAGTAGAATCTTTCCCTGAGTATGGTGCCGGTTGTTTATAAGTCTCACCACCACCTGGCACGACTCGGGACATTGGTGCCGATTGTGCCATGCTCGTCACAAGGGGATCTGTCTCAATCTTGCTGTACCGTCCATCAGGGGGGTTTCCAGGAGCCCATGCCCTTCTTTCATCATAACCTCCTGGCCCCTGACCTTGGGGATAGCCTTGATAGGCCGACATGACAGTGCAGTGTCATATATGCTTGGGTGTCTGAAAAAGTGAGATGAACAACACTTAATTCTTTCATAAATTTAACTGTCATGAAATTGAAAGCATCAATATAGTTATTATTACAAATAACAACAAAACTGCTGACAGAGAAACAAAGTCAAGGAACAACAAAAAAAGCTTCATGTCTTCACCTCCAATCCATGTCAAGATGGCAATCAAAGGCTTGTTACAATTACATTGGCAATGGTAAGCATATCTATGCAGCTCCCATTAAACAATTTTTTAGATGTTTTGGTGATATGAAAATTCAAGAAAATGATCACAAACATATCTAGTATGCAGCAGATGACAACACAATAACCATGTGGTCATGTGACAAGGGGGTTGGGTAGGCTAGTGGTTAAAGCGTTGGCTCGTCACGCCGAAGACCCGGGTTCGAATCCCCACATGGGTACATTGTGGGAAGCCCATTTCTGGTGTCCCCCGCCGTGATGTTGCTGGAATATTGCTAAAAGCGGGCGTAAAACTAAACTCAGCCAGTCATGTGAAGAGCTCTTACAATCTAAGAAGAATACTAGTTCATGAGTTATACCCGGCCAGAATCAAAACTCAACTACTGTTACCACAAGACCTCATCCATTCAGTTTCAACTTTCAGGGATTTTGAGACAGTGCCATCTTATTGTCAAGAACCCATAATGGTCTGTTGCTTTCGATCACAAATTCAGATCTGTATCAAACAGAAAATGCAGAAGTGAGGTCGAAATTGGAATAATTAGCCCTATAGTATGTAGCCCCCAGTTGTTGCTTTTAGTGAGTGGGTGAGCTGGGTTAAACGTCACTTTATATAGTATTCTACTATTCCAGTCATATCACAGCATATCAGCTTAACAAGGCAGGAAAGGCTGAACTGCTTGGGTAATACAGGTCTCAGGTGTTTTACCACTTTGTTAAACCCACCAACATGACATCAGTTCTGACAAACCTACAACTATCAAAGCAAATCAGTACCAAATAAATTTGGACCCCCTATTATAGCTTTCTGTTGTGCCCAAGTGATGTAACTTTGCACAGCAAAATGTGGCATATTGGCAATCTGTGCACCTAGTGGCATTTGGAAAACAGTTCAATTTGTTGATAAACTTGTCTTTCATAAGTTAGGGACATGTTTTACAATTCTTCATCTGATTAGAGAAAAAACAATGGATGTGATTAGGCATCTGAAATCCCATAATACAAGGATAGAGTAAATGCCATTCCAGTGTCAACAATATTGAATGATGAATTGGGAGTACTGCACTTTACCGGGCGCACTTTTTCAGATTAATTAGCGCTGCTGGGGTTCGCTTACCCTAACCCTAACCCTAAGGATTGTAAAGGGTGCCTAACCCTAAACCTAAGGATCGTAAAGGGTGCCTAACCCTAAACCCTAACCCTAAGGATCGTAAAGGGTGGCATACCCTTACCCTAACCCTAAGGATCGTAAAGGGTGGCATACCCTTACCCTAAACCCTAAGGATCGTAAAGGGTGGCATACCCTTACCCTAAACCCTAACCCTAAGGATCGTAAAGGGAGCAGCGAGGGCTGCGCCCGGAAAAGTGCATTCTAGCCGATGAATTTAATACTAACAGGCATAAAGACCCGTTTCAAGTTGGATCTCGCGTGCAATTTAGTCAGTCTTCAATCCCAATAATAATCAAAGGCTGGTTCCATCTAGGCTATTGATGATGTACTGTGGTTCAAGAAAACTGCATTAAAATATAAATTATTTATCAGGTCTAACTAAATGTTTATAAATGGATCTTGCTCGACTAGGCATACCTGGTTATTGACAATGAACTGCGAATAACAGGGGCATGTGCCAAGCAACTGTATTTATATTTCCACTGCCGGGGTGTTCATTTTACATACAATCCATGCAGTGACAATAATACCTTGATAGTAGCCCGTTCATTTTTCGTAACAAGCCCCTGGGCTGTGTATAAACATGATAAACAAGCACGTTTTCTACACGATTCATTAAGTTTGGCCCTCTTTCAAACTCAGCGCAAAACCCACTGATTCTTTACTAGTTTATCAAAAACATGAAACCAGTTGTATAACAGAAACAAGACAGGAATAGTATGTTGATCCATACAATACTGTCAATATCAATTTGGCTTAATCCTTACCAAATCTCTCTATATCGACTTAGCGTTCGAATCGTGGTTGTAGACCGGAAGTGCTGTGTGCACACACTAAAGCTCCTGACAGCGAAATATGACTATGCTGTAGAGTTTCTGGTTCTCTTTTTGAAGGTGTACACAACAACTGTAGACTAACAACTTGTCTCTGAAATGAACATTTTTACAGAAAAAAAAGTTTATATTAAAAAAATAAAATATAATGAAAAGGAGCCCTGAGAAGCTGAAGAAATCCAGACCTGCCACATTTTTTAGACTTGCGTGGGCTTTCTTGGATATATTTGCTTCAAGGTTTGTATGACTGACTAACAAAACTGAAAAGAGATTCAGTTTTGTGGAATTATTACGGCTCCTTGCCATTAGGCAGGAGACCTATTGTAACCAGTCGTGTTTTTATTATTATTATTATTATTATTATTATTATTATTATTTATTCTTCCGCCGTATTTTGTAACTGAGCTACAGAGAGCACCGCTGGACAGAATGCCTTGACAAAAATCACCCAGATGCCCACCGAGGGGTACATATCGCGCTTTAAAATCTGTAGGCTGTAGGACCAATAGCAAAGGGCAGATAATTCAAAATTAATTCAAAAATTTCAATTTCAAATGCAAATTTCTCCAAAACTAATGCTCCAATGTGTGCCAAAGTTCTGGAGCAGATGCGCAATCAAAATGCCTACAATTTCGCCTGGGCGGCTCAAGTCGCTAAAATGCACCGTTTGGCCGCTATTTTGGATTGAAGTTTTTGGTGATGTTTTTCAGCAAAATGCTGACTACTTTCCTCCCAAAATGTGCTGCACTGAAACTTCAAGAGCTACGGCTTTCAAACTTTGCATACTTTGTGTCTATGCACCTTACTACACAGTAGCATCGTCAAATGTGGCTATGTGTATTTGATGGCCGCCATGTTTGACGCTACTTCTGGGCAAAAGTTGTCTTCAAAAACTTTCACGGGCTTCTTTGCCATTTTGTGCCAAACTAAACTTAGCACATACAACACTTTAAACGCTTGTTCTGAAGTGGCCTTTGGTTGTTGAACATTTTCTGTTCTTGGTCCTATGTCAAAAGTCACGTGATGCGGCGGCCATATTGGATTGAAGATGTTTATCGGAAATGTGCAGATTTTGTAGGGTAGGCATTTTTCGCAATCCATAACTCTGAATGTATGAACTGCAGAACGCTGTAAATGAGCCGATGTACAATGTATACCTCAAATATTATTGCCCATAAGCTATGTTGCGATATCGTGATTAGTTACGGATATCTAGATGTTTGTTTCTGTTGTTTATTTTGTACTAAAATGTATTTTCAAAAATGGCAGCGTCATTACTATTTCAACTATGCAGCTAGAATCTGGCAGTACGAAGTACCTTGGTATGTTGAACATTTTTGTTCTTGGGTTCATGTCAAAATGTGTATTGCTTGGCGGCCATATTGGATTACGTCAGATTCTGATGATACTACCTTATAAACAGCATAACTGGTCAGGTTCTGCACAGAAGGCATTCAAACTTGGCAGTATGCATCAACATAGGATGCTTAACATTTCGTGTTCTTACATGTATTTCAAAAGTGTGATCGTTTGGCAGCCATATGGCATTGAAAATTGCACAAATGCATTATGTGTCCAAAACGGCATAAAACAGCATATAACTCCACCACTATTGCTCCAATCGCTTCCATATTTGGTATGTGACTTGGTCATGAGATGCCGATCATTTTTGTCTGGTTGTCCCAGATCGATATCTCTAGCCGTTTGGCCGCCATCTTGGATTAAAGTTTTTTCATTTTCAGGTTGCCATAACAACAACAGTTGAAATTTAAATGACTTGACTTTTACAGCATCGTTAGGCACAGTCAGTGGAATGCTGTGTGCAAAATCTCAACTCTGTACATTTGATAGTTCCGGAGATACTAACTATACAGTATTTTGGCGGACAGACATGCGGACAGACGGCGGACATATTTGTCACTAAATCTGACCAGCGCATATGATACATCGGGTCTGGGCAAAGCAGAAACACTAATTCCTTTTACCCTAGAGGCAATAACAACGGCGTCTTAACTCGCCAAAAAAACGTGTTTTTGTCCTGTGACGGACCGGTCAAATGACCTTGACCCCGTGACCTTGGTGACCTTGACCATTAGAAAGCATTTTTGACATACTATCAAGTTCCGGGGTTAAAACCCCGAAAAACTCAAAAATAAGCGACTTTATTAGGGCTCCTTGCCATTAGGCAGGAGACCTATTGTAATCGTTCGTGTTTTTATTAGGGCTCCTTTGCCTTTAGGCAGGAGACCTATTGTAATTGTTCGGTTTTTTATTATTATTATTATTATTATTATTTCTTATTCCGCCGGATTTTGTACCACTCCTACAAAGAGCACCAGTGGACAGAATCGCTTGAAGAAAATCACCATGGTGCCCACAGTGCTGAAGTTGTTTCTGCAAAAATCTCAGGGTTCTAGGCCCAATACCAAAGGGCAGATAATTCAAAATTAATTCAAAAATTTCAATTTCAAATGCAAATATCTCCAAATCTAATGCTCCAATGTTTGCCAAAGTTCTTGAGCAGATGCGCAATCAAAATGCCTACAATTTCGCCTGGACGGCTCAAGTCGCTAAAATGCACCGTTTGGACGCTATTTGGGATTGAAGTTTTTTGGTGATGTTTTTCAGCAAAATCTTGACTGCATACCTCCCAAAATGTGCTGCACTAAAACTACAAGGGCTACGGCTTTCAAACGTTGCATACTTTGTGTCTATGCATGTTTCTACACAGTAGCATCGTCAAATGTGCCTATGTTTATATGATGGCCGCCATATTGGACGCTACTTTTGGGCAAAAGTTGTCTTCAAAAACTTTCACGGGCTACTTGGCTGTTCTGTGCCAAACGAAACTTACCACACACAACACTTTAAACGCTTGTTCTGAAGTTGCCTTTGGTTGTTCAACATTTTCTGTTCTTGGTCCTATGTCAAAAGTCACGTGATGCGGCGGCCATATTGGATTGAAGATGTTTATCGGAAATTTGCAGATTTTGTGGGGTAGGCATTTTTCGCAATCCATAACTCTGAATGTATGAACTGCAGAACGCTGTAAATGTGCAGATATACAATATATACCTCAAATATTGATGCCCATAAGCTATGTTACGATATCTTAATTAGTTACGAATATCTAGACGTTTGCTTCTGTTGTTTATTTTGTACTAAAATGTATTTTCAAAAAATCGCAGCGTCATAACTATTTCAACTATGCAGCTAGAATCTGGCAGTACATAGTAACTAAGTGTGTTGAACATTTTTTGTTCTTGGGTTCATGTCAAAATGTGTATTGCTTGGCGGCCATATTGGATTTCGTCAGATTCTGATGATACTACATTATAAACAGCATAGCTGCTCAAGTTCTGCACGGAAGACAGTAAAACTTGGCAGTATGCATCAACATAAGATGCTTAACATTTCGTGTTCTTACATGCATATCAAAAGTTTGATTGTTTGGCGGCCATATGGCATTGAAAATTGCACAAATGCATTATGTCCAAAACGGCATAAAACAGCTTATAACTCCACCACTATTGGCCAAATCGCTTCCATATTTGGTATGTGACTCGGTCATGAGATGCCGATTATTTTTCTCTGGTAGTCCCAGCTCGATATCTCTAGCCGTTTGGCCGCCATCTTGGATTGAAGTTTTTCATTTTCAGGTTGCCATAGCAACAGAATTTGAAATCCAAATGACTTGATTTTTACAGCATCGTTAGGGACAGTTGAGGGGATGCTGTGTGTAAAATCCCAACTCTGTACGTTTAATAGTTCCGGAGATACTAACTATACAGTATTTTGGCGGACAGACGTCCGGACAGACGGCGGACATATTTGTCACTAAATCTGACCAGCGCATATGATACATCGGGTCTGGGCAAAGCAGAAACACTAATTCCTTTCACCCTAGAGGCAATAACAACGGCGTCTTAAGTCGCCAAAAACTTGTTTTTGTCTTGTGACGGACCGGTCAAGTGACCTTGACCCCGTGACCTTGGTGAACTTGACCATTAGAAAGCATTTTTGATATACTATCAAGTTCCGGGGTCAAAACCCCGAAAAACTCAAAAATAACGATTTTTAATTAGGGCTCCTTTGCCTTTAGGCAGGAGACCTATTGTAATTGTTCGGTTTTTATTATTAGGGCTCCTCGCTGCAAAGCAGGAGACCTATTGGAATCGTTAATGTTTTTATTATTATTATTATTTATTATTCCGCCGTATTTTGTTCCACTCGTACAAAGAGCACCGCTGGACAGAAACTGTCGAAAAAATTCATGTGGATGCGCATCAACATGAACTGGTGCATATCAAAAATCCAGCTTACTAGGCCCCATAGCCAAGGGCAGATAAATCAAAATCAATTAAAAAAATTCAATTTCAGCAGCAGATATCTGCAAAACTACTAATCCAATGACTACCAAATGTCTTGAGCAGATCCGCAATCAAAATGTCTACAATTTCGCCTTGACCGGTCGAGTCGCTAAAATGCACCGTTTGGCCGCTATTTTGGATTCAAGGTTTTGGTAATGTTTTTCAGCAAAATCCTGACTACTTTTCTCCCAAAATCTGCTGCACTGAAACTACAAGGGCTACGGCTTTCAAACTTTGCATACTTTGTGTCTATGCAACTACCTACACAGCGGCATCGTCAAATGTGGCTATGTGGATATGATGGCCGCCATATTGGATGCTACTTCTGGCAAAAACTTGTCTTCAAAACTACCACGGGCTTCTTTGCCATTTTGTGCCAAACCAAGCTTAGCACATACGACACTTTAAACGATTGTTCTGAAGTGGCCTTTGGTTGCTGAACAATTTCTGTTCTTGGTCCAATGTCAAAAGTCACGTGATGCGGCGGCCATATTACACTGAAGATGCTAAAAGGAAATTTGCAGTTGTTGTGGGGTAGGCATTTTAGCAATCCATAACTTTAAATGTATTAGCTGCAGAACGCTGCAAATTTGTAGATATAGATTACATACCTCAAATATGTACAATCTCGA